TCCTTCTGAGAAGTGGCTGGTGGGTTTGAACCACCAGCCTTCTGGTTAGCAGTCAAATGCCTTAGGCATTAGGCCACCAGGAAATAAATCCATGATAGAGCAGAATTTTGGGACAGTAGCACCACCCAGTGTCTACTGGTAGGGGAGAAAGTGAGAATCGTGTAGTAACTTGAAAGGACTAAATATTCAAGGTCATCTTCTGGATAGTAGCCCAGAACCTTAGAGCATTAAGATAAGATGGAGGTAAGACTATGTATTAAGCTTGTATCCCATATTTTCCTTATGGTATATGTATGGTAGTATAGATATGCATAGATCAAGAATCATACTCTCTACCAGGATTTCTCAAACCTTCCTCTCACTTCACTCCACCTCACTCTGTTCCTTTGCAAGGATTGTGAGCCCGGCTCAGGACCCAGCAGTGTTTTGTTCTACTGCACATAGGCACATAGGGTCGCTGTGAATCGAGCTGACTTGATGGCACCTAGCAACAATAACATAGCATATTGTTCTGATTTGAGAGTCTGGTATGTTTGTTGGAGAAACTTTAAAAACACAAAGGAACACTCATTCAGCACATAATATTTATTGAGTAACTACAATTACGTCCCAGACATTAAATATAATGAACACTAGTATTTCTGCCTCTCAGATTTGAATGTTAACATTTAGTTATATTTGTCTTTTTCCCCACTAAGGAATTTAGAAAAATTAAGATTTTATTAACCCTCACCCCATTTCCACTTCCCCAGGGATAATCTTTCCTGAATGTAATGTATAGCTTTCCAGCGCATTTTCCTATCATTGCAGATATTACAGAGAGCTCTCTTTCCAGAAGCCATGGGAAAGTATTCTTTGAACCAGTGTTCTAAGTCTAAGACCACACTACCCTTATCACCTAGGGTAAACAGGAAGCCTTAGACACCCACCTCTCCCTGCACCAACACTCAAAAACTCTGCCACCACTATCCTACTCGAATCCATCAGAAGTCATCTAATGATGGCACTTATCCCCACCTCAATTGCTCATTCACACAGCCATACCCTAGACCTTGTCATTGCAATCATGGCAAACTGTCTATAATCTCAATTTCAAACATGCCTCTAAATGATCATCATCTACTTTCTTCCCAACTCATTCTCTTTGGTACTATAACCACACTATCCTTCAACTTCACCAGGGTCTCCAAACCACTGAGCCTACCAGATTTTCAGCGTCAATCACTCCCTTATCGTCCTCTCTCCCCTTCTTCAAATACCACCCTCAGTCTTTATAATCCCCCTTTACATATACCTTCCACTATTCTGCCCCTCTCTCACTTTGTAATGTTTCTTTGGCAAAAGAACAACCCTGGTTAAATCCAATGATACCTTAACAGGGAGCTCTGGTGGCATAGTGCCTAAGACATTTGACAGCTAAGCAGAAGGCTGGCAGTTCAAACCCACCAGCCACTCTTCAGAAGGAAGGTTGGGCAATCTACTTCCATAAGGATACCACCTCGGAAATGCAAGGAGGGGTCGCTATGAGTGGAATCTGACTTGGGGCAGTGCGTATACCTTAACAAGCCTACACCCACACAGCTAAACATGGCTGGAGAAAACACACAATCACATGTCTAATATTGGTTTAAGTTCAAGACCAAAACCAACCAAACCAAACCCACTGATTTTGAGTTGATCCCGACTCATAGTGACCTCATGAGCATAAACTTCAATTGGGAGCTTATTCCTACCAGGCAATCATCCTACCGGCCTCCTATCCCTAAACTTTCTATTTTTTAAACTATTATTTCACAAATTTTCTCTCCTCAAACTCGTAATAACATTTACCCATTACAATTCTTAGCTTGCTTCCTATTTCACTAGAATATTGAAACCACCAGAAAAGAACTTCCACATATACCCCCCACCACCACATCACTTCACCTACCTGCACCTGCATCTGTAAACAGGGCCTTCCCGTTGATATCATACATTAAATTTCCAGACTCCCCTCTGAAGCCAACCTCTCTACTTGCCCATTAGATCTCATTCCCTCATACTGATTCAATAATAGCACAATCGTGGAAGAACAGATGGGCAGTAGCTTGCACAGGGAGATAGCTCAGGCAGCAGGAGTGCATGGGTGGGAGGGACACAGGGAAGAGGCAGGGAAGAAGTGGGAAGAAAGCTGTTTCATTGTGGAGAATTGCAGTCAATGTCATGAAACAAAATGTGTATGAAATGCTGTATAGAAAATGAGTTTGCTCTGTAAAGTTTTGCCCAAATCACATTAAAACTTTAGAAAGAAAAAAAAAATAGCTCTAACATCTTTCTGCCTTCTGTCTCCAACATCATCAATATTGTGCTGCCTACTGGATCATTTCTGTAAGGATACAATAATGCTGTTATTTTTCATCTTCATATATATGCACACTCATCATTATATGCCCATTATCTTTATGTATACATTCTGTTGACCCTACTTTCCCCCAC